TATAAACATATAATGTTTGACACAACGGTGCACCTGCTTCGCAGGTGCGTGCAGCTGGTTGGTGCACCACTCCTCGTCACGTGCACAGCACAGACGCCCAGGTCGACTGCACGCCAGCGACTGCGCCCACCAGCCACGTCGACCTCGGGATACCACCCCCAAGGTCGGCCTCGCAGAAGCCTCCCCGGCGACCGTCGCCCACGTCGCCCGGGTATTTCGGTCGACCAGGCAACCACGCCTGGTCGTCCAGCCCAGTCGGTCGCCGGCTACGCCAGACCGGCGTCCTCAGAAGAGGTGTCCCAGCACCCAGGTCGGCGTCCTGAAGCCTAGGTCGGCGTCCAGGCGCCTGGGACGCCATCCGGACACCCAGTTCGGCGTTCAGGAGCCCGGGACGTCGACCAGACGCCCAGGTCGGCGTCCAGCCTCCCAGGACGCCGTCCAGGCGCTCAAGACGCCGTCCAGGCGCCCAGGACGACGACCAGACGCCCAGGTCGGTGTCCAGCTTCCCACGACGCCGTCCAGGCGTCCAGGACGCCGTCCAGGCACTCAGGACGACGCCCAGACGCCCAGGACGGCGTCCTCCTGCTCGGCGCCCTCCAGCCAGGCGCCCTCTAGCTCGGCGCCTTTGCAGTGGCCAACGTGCCCACTGTTGCAGGTCGGCTGCTTCCCCGCACACCCGACCACGAAGTCGGCTCTGCCCAAGTGAGGACGGGGCCAAACAACACTCCCGTTGACAGAGGGGAGGGGGGGACTGGGGTATCTCGGTCGATATAGCGTGCGGAGAAGGCCACTGACTGGTCAAAAGTGATGTCGTGGGAGTCAAAGAACATGAGAAATTTTAAAATACATTTTCAAATTTGAAGATTATGACAAGACTTGTAAAGGAGGTTGCAGTAAGGAGTCACAACTCCTTTATCTCGTGGCAGGTCCACGGACCTGCCACCTAGTCCAATTCATTTCTAGATCTACATCTAGAACCCGCCCATCCCACCCTTTAGATAGTTTCCATTGATTTATACATTAGATTCGTGTCGATACTGGTAGCGCCTAGATCATAATCATTTTTGTAATTTGCATTCTAGTGTGCTGTATGGTTGAGATCTGAAATGCTATGACGACTGCTCTACAGACTCCTTGAAGAGTCTTGTCTTAATCAATGGATGGAAGGGGGGTAAAAGAGACTGACATGGGCATCAACAGAACAAACAAGGAAGATGCAGGGGAGGGAGCAAGCCGAGAGGTTGTTCGCACGAGTATCTTGGACATGCGCAAGGAAGCCCCAGACAAGAAATGTAGACGCGACACCGGGGGTCCCAGTCCAAAGGCGGGTTAGTGAATCATGTGGGCTCAAAACACAAGGCCACATGTTCAGCTGATGCGCGACGTAGCGAAGCGCAAAAGTCTACAGAAATTGGGGCGCAAAGGCATGGACTATGGAGGTACGAGTGATCTCCATGACCAAGCCTCTGCAGTGGTGAGTTCGGGAGCGTGTAGGACTAGGTGATGCCCTGCTCGCGACAAAACTCAGCAAGTTGGCGTGCTAGACGCTAGTGGCCACTATCCACAAGATCAGAGCATCAGGCATGTCGATCTTGCACTACACCGTGGTGTAGCGAGAGACGTCGTCCACAACCACCAGGAAGTAGCTCTCCCTGCGCAGCCCAGAGACCGGGGTAGGGCTCGAGACGTCCATGTGCAAAGTCTGAAGAGGCATAGTGGATGGCGCAAGTAAGGAGGAATGAGGGGCAGCGCGCTGCCAACCCTCGACGCAAGGAGTGCACGGCGGAGCAGGCGAAGAAACGACCAGAGGAAGCGGCAATGGGAGACTTGAGACAAGACCGTGCCTAGCCATGTAAGAGTGCAGGTGTCCTAAACGGTGGTGCCACAGGAGGGACGGGTGTGTGAGTGACCGACAAGAGCATGATGCATCAACCTGACCAGATGCAGACACGTGGGGGGACGTGTGGAGTGTGAAGAAACCTGACGAAGGCTCCCGGGCAAACGTGGCCAGACGTACCCCGTTGAAAGCATTCGTACAGGTCGCAAACCTCTTGTGTGACTGTAACCCCCACGGTCCTGAAGAGGTCCAACACCCACCAAGTTCCTGCAGAACGAGGGGACGTTGAGACCTGTGAAGGAACCCGAGGGGGCCACTGGACATGGGAACGTGATAGTAATGCGAGCGACGGCTGGTCCAAACGTGGGGTTGGCCAAAGCGACTGCGACTGGCACGGGAAGCGGCGGGACAGTGTTGTGGTCACAGAAGAAGCACTAGGACGCGTCAGATTCAAGCATAGAGGAGAGTGACGCATCCACGGTACGCACACCTGAGCTAGCAACAACGTAAGCACCTACACTAGAAACATGCAAAGAACTTAGTCTAGGTATACACGAGCAAATAAAAGATCCAGCAACTCTAGAGTCAACAGCGTACATGGCAGAAAAGACGTCATCCATGGTCATAACAAACACCTGGTAACCACGACTCAGAAAAGCAGGCCAGTCCAGAAGGGCCCCTTGAGGCCCGTAACGGTCGCGAAAGAGATCGTCGAGGCGACGAAGCGCGGTGCAGAGTGATCGAGGCGCCCGTATGTAGTGCTAGTACCTGGGCCAGTCATGATCTGGTACTGGCAGGGCCCGACGTCGTGTCCACCGCGATGAGTCCCCCAGCTCTTAGGGCCGTTGCTACGGTCGACGCTCCTCGGACCACCAGGTCCCCACTTCTGCTAAGGTCCTCACTGTTGCTGAGGTCCCCACTGCCGGTACTGCTGCGGCTGCTGTACCTGCTGCTACTTCTGGGGTCGCTGCTGCTACTGCTGTTGTGCCCCTGCCACACCTCCAGAACCTGCACATCCTCCGACCAGGCCTGCAGTCCCAGCACCGTCTCCAGGGCCACCTCCTCCGGACACACTAGTACCTCCACCACCTCCACTACCTCCACCTCCACCACCTTCACCTCCGCCACCCTTCCCCCGTTTCTTACCTCCCTTGCCTTGTTTTTGCGAACCAGTGGCAAAAACTGTTGCAGTCTCCCCAGCAGCGAACGATTCAGCAGCAACAACGGAAGCAGTGAAGGTGGGGAGCTGGGGCAGAGCACACCCATCAAAGAGACGGGACTACAGTGGAAGTAGCTGAGGTGACGGAGCGGAGGTTACCCTTGATCTCATTGTGAGTGGTCACAAATAAGTTCGATAGTCAGCTAAATGGGGTTCTTCCGGAGAAGCGCGTCGCGTGCAGACGAGAGGCGGTCGGGGAGATGGAGGACGATGAAATAGAGGGTGGAAACATAGGCGGAGGGTGGCCAGCAAGCTGGGTAGTGGAACAGACAGCACGATAGCTAGCGTCGAGTGAGCGTAGGTGAGTGACAAGGCCAGCAATAGTGGAAAATGCAGCAAGTTCTGGGAAGAAGAACAGCATGAGAACGCGGCCTGGGGTAGCACAGGAAGGAGTGCAATAGCGAGAAACAATAGCGTCGCACTCCTTCGCTGGCGTAACCTTGTCGAAGTGGATAGACTCGTCTGCGGAAGGAGGCGATCCAGAGCGAGCCGAGCAGCAGCGTCGAAAAGACTCCCATACCGAGTATTACGTGCGCCGCACAACAAAAGTCTCCCGCTCTGCGTAGTGGCCTCAGTAGGAAGCTGGGGGAGACGCAGAAAGGCAGGCAGACCACCCGGCGTGTGGGCATACAGAGTGTCCCCATCCTGGCGTACGCTCTGGAGGTGAAGCTTGGTGTGTAGCAACCATGTCCTAATATTGATCCCAAGACCCTCAGTGTCAAAACGAAGGACTCCGTTAGACGCCATGATGAAGGCTAGATGGCTCTAGGTGACAGTTGCGATGAGGAGCGGTCTAGGAACACTTGTAAGACCGGCGTCGGAACGGTGCAAGGAACTGTAGGCTAGGAACAGAAGGCTAGGAAGGGAGCTAGGAGTGGCAGGCTAGGAACGGCGGGGCTAGGAACGGCAGACTAGGAACGGCGGGCTAGGAATGGAGGGCTAGCAATGCCGGGCTAGGAACGGCGGGCTAGGAACGGCGATCTACCACGGGTGTGCAAGGTTAGCAGTTGCAGGTGCCACAAGCGGTGCCAGTAGGAGCTAGTGCGGCTGCCAGCCGCCACTTGTGCGCTGCTGGCAAGGAGCTGATGCTTTATGGCGGGCGCTGGGGGGGTGGTGGTGTGATCTGCTGGCGCACTGGCAGCTGGCGCGCTGCTAGCAATGCTTGCTGCTGGCGGTGCGCGCTAGTGGCGGTGCATGCGCTGCCGCGTGCGCGTTGCTGGCGGTGAGCGCGTGCGCGCTGGCGGTGCGAGCACTGCTAGCGAGGCACGCCGCTGGCGCATGCGTGTTGCAGGCACTGCGCGCTGCGGATGCATGCTCGCGCTCGCGGTGCGCGCTGCTGGCGGTGCGCTGGCTGTGTGCGCGTTGTGGTGGCTGACGCGCACTGACAGGTTGGTTGGTTATGCCTGGTAGGCTATGGCTGGCTGGCTATGGCTGGCGGGCTAAGGCTGGCTCGCCGACGGGCGGTCTAGGAGCTAGGGAGGCGACGAGTTAGGCTAAAATCCACCTAACGGATACCACCTTAGAAGAAGAACGAGCGGAATGGTGCGAACTGAACGGGGATGTGGTACAAGTAGCTAGCCCTAACATAGGCTAACGAATGTAACACATACAACTTTGACAATACTACACTACATACTCGATGCTGTTCAGTTCACAAATAGAAGTTCCACCCATTCCATACAAACATGAACTACAAAACGGATACTAAATCACAAACTCACAACCTATGCATCACTGCTCGATCGAAATGCTAGTGACAATATGCTGCATGTAGTCACTACCAACATGAAAACAGCACAGTCTGCATATAAAGCACACTTACTATTTACAAGAATGTCAAACTCACATCGTACAAACCGTGTCACATGATACGATAACACAACGAGTGAGACCCTAGCCAATGGGTCCCATGTTGGAGCGACACTTAACTTGATATGGGCATGCCTATAAGGTTCGCTTCTTGAACTTCCCGCAAAGTGCATGGTCATTTTTTGGATGAGACGCAACCACATGGGTGCCTGATGATTGATGAGTATAGGAAAGAATGAATGACCGAATATCGGCCTGTGATAAAGGACCCACAATCATTGAGGAAGAGAAGCTGTAACGCTTCAGCCGACCACCCCTGGTACTCGTGATGTTCTTCCAACCAACACCCACAAGTTCTTCCTCAAACTTGCCAGCAAGGCAATTCGAAACGGGGGTCATGCAGGGTGCAGCCCCTCCAGACCGGAGGTTGTTCACTCGTACCATGAGCACGAGGTAGCTGGCACTTGCAGAGGCCCTGTCGCCGAGGTAAGGGAGAGTAGAAGGGACAGGAGCACCACGTGTTGATTCATGTGGCCCCCCACATGATATTTGTGCAAGAACAGGAGAATAAGGCGTGTTCACACTCTAAGAAGTATTAAAAGCATAGGCAGCAACCTGATTTCTACGTTAAGCTGAATCAGCCAAGAAATTATCAATAACGCCGATGGCAATTACTGCCAGCATTTGCATGGCTGCCCCAAAGCATTTACAGTGGTTAACAAATAGCGAGCTTACTTTATTCCCTTCATGAAACCTCTTCCGGTTGCTCCTCGGTCGCCAACCACTTTTCCGTTGCTACGAGGGGGAGTGAGCCTGAGCACATAGCGCACTGGAAAGGGTAGGCCGGGCAGGCACAAAGGTAACTGAAAGAACACCAAGTAGTTTCCGCTTCTGGTCTTTGGATGATTGGTCCAAGAGGGTTAGTAGCTGCGTCACTCGTACGTGAGTCAGACTTTCCGTTCTATAAAGACAGCACTACCCTATGCAACAGGTGGAGTAGTAACAGTAACAAACGGAGCACTGCCGACACCTCGCTGCTGGAAGCTGACAGATGAGTTTCCAAGAATTCGGAAAACAACCCGGGTGAAATAAGCACTTACTAAACACCTTTCCCTTCACCGACGGAGTGGCGTAAGCAGAGGAAGTGACAGGCAGCCGTCCGGTGGCGGGGAGGAAGGCTGCGAGGGACGCTGAAGGTGACACGGAGGGGGTCGTTGGGAGCGATGATGACGTTGCAGACTCTGCAACCGTTACAACTGCACAAGGCACAAACACCACCCAAGACGAGGTTTAATCAGGATTCGGCAGAGCCGTGCATCGGATGCACTTGCAAAAGGGCGTCGGAGGCGCTCACGTATTAGTACCCAGCAAAGCACAGTCCGCTCCATGATAAGAGATGAGAGAGAGACGAGCCGTTGATATACAGTACTACTAGTGATCGTGAGATAAGCGGCTTTCAGAGCGAGCAAAGTTGCTGCAGGACTAAAATAAGCGCGATGTTCAAGAACAACCATCTTCATGTCAGTTCGGTGCTAATCTTGGAACGGACCATCGTCGTGCCGAGTCGCGGCGTGAAATCTTTCACATGACGGTGCCACTAGCAGGACATGTCATCCACGTAGCACATGCTTGTGGCATAAACACAGAAACGTTTCGCGCTGCACATGTCCAAGCGGGCGGCGGGAGGGAGGGATGGTGAGATTGGAGAGGTGTCTGACTTTCCCGGTTCTGACATGTGTACTGAGTCGTCGGGTTCCTCAGTCCTGAAAGCTCGCCATTGTGCGAAAGCTAGGCTTATGTGGAGGGTCGTTGCCAACACATCTCCCCGCCAACAAGAACGGTAGAATCGAGGGTATTTTGAGTTGGAAGGGAAGGGGGAGGCGAAACAAAGGTATCCTGACCTGACCCAACCAGAGCTGATGAAGCCAAGAGACTTGGCGTGGCTTGTCAGTGGCGATTTCGCGATTTTGAGCTGGCAAACGTGGCAGTGACGGTTTCGCGAGAAATCGCTGACCACACTACATACTCGATGCTGATCACGAGTAATATTTGCACCCATTTGATATAAACATGAAATACAAAACGGACGCTAAATATAAAAACTCGAAATCTATACATCACTGCTCAATCAAAATGCTAGCAATAATATGCTGCATGTAGTCACCACCAGTAAGAAAATTGCACAATCTTCATATAAAGCACGCCTATGCTATTTACAAGGTCTAACTCAATTATACAACACATGGGTGCATGACATTGACAACACAATGAGCGACACTTTTGTGGATGCCATGGGTCCCATGTTGGAGAGACACTTTTGCGGATGCCATTACAATGCTCAAACATTAACTTGAAATGGTCATGCTTATACGGGTCGTTTCTTCAACTTCCCGCAAAGTGCATGGTCATTTTCCGGATGCGACACAGCTAAATGCCAGCCTGATGATTGATGAGTATAGGAAAGAATGTATGCCCGAATATCGGCCTGTGATCCTGGGCCCATAACAGTTGAGGTAGCGAAGCTGTAACGCTTGGGCCGACCACCGCTGGTACGCGTGATGTTCTCCCAACCAATACCTTCATATCCTTCCTCATACATGCCAGCAAGGCAATCCGTAACAGCGCTCATGTAGGGCGCAGACCCTCCAGACCGGATTTTGTTGACACGCATCTTGAGCACGAGGTAGCAGACACTTGCAGAGGCCCTGTCACCAAGGCAAGGGAGAATAGGAGGGACAGGAGCACCACGTGTTGATTCATGTGGCTCTCCACATGATATTTGTGCAAGGTCAGGAGAATATGACACGTTCAGACTCTTAGAAGTGTTTAACGCATAGGTAGCAACCTGCTTTTTTTTGCGATAAGCTGAATCGTCCAAGATATCATCAATAATGTAGATGGCAATAACTGCCAGCAATTGCAGGGCTGCACCAAAGCCAAGTACAGTGGTTAAGAAAAAGCGAACTTACTTTATTCCCTTCATAATAACTTTTCCGGTTGCTCCTCGGTCGCCAACTACTTTTCCGTTGCTACGAGGGGGAGTGAGCCTCGCCACATAGCGCACTGGAAAGCGAAGGCAGGGCAGGCACAAAGGAAAAGGTAGCTGAAAGAATACTCCAAGTAGTTTTCGTTTTCGGTCCTTGGATGATTGGTCCAAGGGAGTTAGTGGGTGCGTTGACTCGTGGGTGAACCAAACTTTCCGTTGTGGAAAGACAGTACGACCCTGGGCAACATATTCATGGAAATCATCAGCTCCGTTTTCGAGTTTTGAGACGTCTAAAAAAATCGGAGAAACATCAGGCTGAAGGAGGAACTCACCAAACACCTTTCCCTTCACCAGCGGAGTGGCGTAAGCAGAGGAAGTGACAGGCAGCCGCCCGCCGGCGGGGAGGAAGGCTGCGAGGGACGCTGAAGGTGACACTGGGGGAGTAGTTGGGAGCGATGATGACGTTGCAGACTCTGCACCCACCGTGACGACCGTTACCACTGCACGAGGCACAAACACCACCCAACACGAGCGTTACAACTGCATAAGGCACAAACACCCCAAGTAAAGCTTTAATCAGAAGGCGGCAGAACCGTGGATGCACTTGCGAAAGGGCGGCAATGGGCGCTCACGTATTAGCACCCAGCAAAGCACAGTCCGCTCCATGACAGAGAGACGAGCGGCCGTTGATATTACAGTACTAGTAGTGGCCGTAAAAAGATGCAGGTTTCCAGAAGCGAGAAAAGATGCGGGACTAGATAGCGCGTTGTTCAAGAACAACCAAGCTCGTTGCTACTTATGCACGGTGGGGCGCTTCAGAGCAGTTGGGTGATAATCTTGGGCGGGTCATTGTCGTGCCGACTCCCAGTCGCGTGACAATCTTTCACATGGTGACAGGAGAGGGTATGTCACCCTAGCAGCACATGCACAAGCACGAACGATTCGCGCTGCACAGGTCCGCTTGGCAAGCGGGCGGCGGGAGGGAGGACACATGGAAATGTGTCTGCCTTCCCGGGTTCCGGGTTCTGAGTCGTCGGATTCCTCTCAGTCCAGAAACTCGCCTTTGAGCGCTTCTCCCAACGCATCTTACGCCATCGAGAACGGTGAAATCAAAAGGTTGATTCGAGCGTTTATCATAAGTCCGAAAGGGATAGGGGAGGTCAAGCCGCAAGCTTTTCCTTAAGGGCGTGTCTGAAGTGAATCTTGACGTCCGCCGACGAAGTCAGCGCGTTCGTCCTGACCTGACTCGACTGGAAGCGAAGCGAAACTGGCGTGGACTTGTCAGTGACGTTTTCGCGAAGACGCGTTGGCAAACGTGGCGATGATCAGTGACGATTTGATTTCGCGAAGTTTCGGTGACCACGTCCGCACTGAACAGCTCCTCACAAGTTGACTCCCAGAGCTCTATTATCGCTACTCTGGAAGCTCCTCCGAGCAGTTCGGTGCTAATCTTGAACATATCGCCGTCGTCCCGACTCGCGCAACCCATGATGTACAGAACAAGCAGAGCAGGACATGTCACCCAAGCAGCACATGCACCAAGCACGAACGTGCAGCGGCTGCACGTGTCGAAGCGGGCCGCGGGAGGGAGGAATGGTCCAATACGGAAAGGTGTCTGCCTTTCCGGGTTCTGACACGTGTGCCGAGTCGTCGGATTCCTCTCTTTCCAGTAGCTCCGCTTTGTGCCAAGACTAGAACTTCTCCCAACGCATCTCCCGCCAGGGAACACGGGGGAATCGAAAATGGTGAGTGGAGCAGAAGTGTGAGTGGAGCAGAAGTGGTGGTGTACAGTACAGTACGAGGTTCAGCCAGGGCTGAGGCGTGACGGGGACCGCGGTGCCTCTTCTTGCATGAATTGCCAAGAACAATCTTGCTCTTCACTGTGATTGGCTGTCCTTCACTCATGCGAAAACCGCAACACACTCTCGCGACTAGCGACATTTGCTATTTCGCTCATGCGATTCCCATCGACGACCCCTCTGTATGACTGGAATAGGGCCATCTCCCACAATATTGGAAACATTTTTCCAAAGCAGGACATTATACAAAACAGGAGACATCACAAGTTCGTGTATATAAAAACCAAACCACATTGGCATGTCCCATAAGTCCTGCTGTGTTATGCTCTAATGAACCTTCATGGAAGCTAATATCCTGGACTCCCAGCCACCTACGATACATGCCAGTTGGCTTCCATCTACCATGTGGTGTTACGCGCGTCTGTGCGCGTGGTGTGGTATAGTGGGTTGCAGCATGGTGCAGGGAGATGTTGGGCAGCAATGCAACTGCTGCTGAATCGCGAGTTCATGTCAGCCGGCCAAGAGTGCCTTTGAATCAAGAGCAGGTGAGGTTGGGGGGAGGGAGCGGGATGGTGCTGCCGACAGTAGTAGAGTTGATACCAGCATTGGCAATGGCCTCATGCACTGTTGCCAGCCACAGCTGCAGCTGCACATTTCAATGGGGGAGGGAGGCATGGAATGAAAAGAACGGCTTGAGGTGAGATGGGAGAACGCACAGGCAGCAAGAGGGGTGATGCAGGAGTGCGACATGGATGGATGGATGGATACAAGCAGAGCAGAGAGTCAGAAAGCCATGCGTTTCTCCATCCATTCTGCCTTGAAACTTCCAGTTCGGCTCGAAACCATGCTGCTGAACACCGCAACACGATGACATGACACCACCTCTCCATCCATGCATGCACACAAGTCTCACCTTGGCACAGCTGCGAGTGGCACACTCCAGCTTGAAGCCGTAGCTGGTCGTCACGTGGAACGCAAACCACTCCTCTGATGATGACGGTGCTGCTACAGCCGCTGCTACAGCCGCTGCTACAGCTGATGATGTCTCCTTTGCTACAGCCGGAGGTGCAGGGGCCATGTGAAGAGTGCCGGCAGAGGCGATGGAGGCGACGGGGAGGGTGATCTGCGGGTGCAGGTCGGTGGCGTGCAGGTAGCATGCTATGTCGGTGGGCGTGAGCGTCACAAAGCGCGGCACCCACTCGTCCTCCTCTGTACCGGTGCTGTTGTTGATGGGAGCAGGTGGGTCGTTCGGAGTGGATGCCCATTTCTGGGGTGGTGGGAGAAGGAGGGGAAGTGGGGAATGGGGGAGAGGGGGGTATGTGGGGAGAAGGGTTAAGGCCTTTAAAGACTGACGACGGAACAAGCAAACGATAGCGAGTGAAAGAGAAAGGCGAGCAGGGAGCGAGGAACAGAGAGCAGAGTGTGTCTGCTTACCGTTCTGGTGGGCAGAGTGTGTCTGCTTACCGTTCTGGTGGGCAGATATTCCACGAGTAGAGACTCCTTGAGCAGGTCGTCCAGGTGACACAGCCTGAACGTGGAGTGAGGGAGAGAGGGGTAGTAGTAAGGAGTGAGGGAGAGGGGAGATGAGGTGAGCGAGTGAAGGAGTGGGCAGATATTCCACGAGTAGAGACTCCTTGAGAAGGTCGTCCAGGTGACACGGCCTGAACGTGGAGTGAGGGAGAGAGGGGTAGTAAGAAGGAGTGAGGGAGAGGGGAGATGAGGTGAGCGAGTGAAATAGGGTGGGCAGGTACTCCACGAGTAGAGACTCCTTGAGCAGGTCGTCCAGGTGGCACAGCCTGAAACGCGAAAGGGGGAGGGGAAGGCGAAGGCGGGTGAAGAAAGAGGCAACAAGGTGAGTGAGTGAGGGAAATAAGGTAGGCAGGTACCAAACGAGTAGAGACTCCTTGAGAAGGTCGTCCAGGTGGCACAGCCTGTATGCAGAAAGGAGAAGGGGAAGGAATAGGGAGGGAGTGAGTGAAAGTAGAGATAGGGTAGCATGAGTGCAGAAAGAACAGAATGAAAGAGAAGAAATGAACAAGTGAGGCACAGGAGGGAAGCCGCAGCAGCGACGGCAGCAGCAGCAGCAGCAGGCGACTCACTGTGCTTTGACGGTGCACTCCCTCTCCTCCGCTGCTGTCACCTCCCCTCGCAAACACACCACCTCCTCCACCACCGCCGCCACCACCTCCCCTTCCTCATCTCCTTCCTCCTCCTCCTCTCCCTCCTCCCCCTCCTCTCCCTCCTCCTCTCCCTTGCTGTGTCTTCTCCTCTCTTCCTTTTCTTCCATAGCCCGTGCCCTCTCCCTCTCTTCCTCAGACCCCTGCTGCCCCTCCTGCCTGCCTCCCCAACCGGCAAACCACCCGCCCACAGCCCCGACCACCCCGCTCCCCTGCCTGCTTATCCGGGTGGCAGGAGACTGCACTGCCGCCGCCCGGCCGTCCCCTGCCCCACCGGTGGTATTTGTCCTTTTCTGGAGAAGATCAGATACGATAGAGGCACCGATGCTGCTGGTGCGACGGTGGCGAAAGTTGTGGCTGGAGTGGGGGAAATGTGAAGGGTGGGAGGAAGAGTTGAGAGAGGAGGAGGAGAGAGGAGGGAGGGAGCAGAAGCTACTGCCACTGGAGGTGCGTTGGATGAAGGTAGAGGAGGGGGAGGACCAGGGGGAATGGGAGGGCTGTGATGACCTGCAGCTGAGTGCTGAAGGGGTGTTGGCAGTAGAGGAGGCGTCATAATGTCGGCTTTTAACTGAGTGCTGCTTGGGTAAGTGGTGAAGGAGAACAGTGGGGTCGGAGCCGCACCGCACTGCACCCACTCCAACCCTGCCGTTTGCAGCACCACCACCAGATGCGGTAGATACCGAGAAGTCAACGGTTGAGTGCGGTGGAGGTGGGTGGTGTGGGGCGGGGGGAGCAGCAGCCTCTGCGGTAACCAGTTGGCGACGGTGGGATTCGAAGAGGGTGTAATCGGCCAATCGCATGCGAGCGAGGGCCGGGTGGGAGTGTGTGATGCCGACGAGTGAGAGACCGTCCACCTGATGCTGATCGAAGTCCCGTGCGTACTCTGAGGGAGGGGGGAGTTCGAGAGTGGGGGGGGGAGACGGCGAGGATGCATGAGTTTGACAAGGGCGGGGTGGGAGTGTGTGATGCCGATGAGTGAGAGGCCGCCCACCTGATGCTGATCAAAGTCCCGTGCGTATTCTGGGGAAGAGGAGGAACGGCGGGGCGAGGAGAGGGGGGGGAGAGTGGGGGGGCAGAAGGGAGAGAGTGGATATGTTGATTGATTGGGGCTGATTATTGAGTCGACTTTAGAGTGATGCCGACGAGTGAGAGGCCGTTCACCTGATGCTGGTCAAAGTCCCGCGCGTATTCTGAGGGAGGGAAGAGGGAGGAGGGGTGGAGGGAGAAGGAGGGAGAACTGTTACTTTGTTGACTGGCCACGGGCACATGTCACTGCTGCTCCACTCCACTCTATTAGAATCGGTGGGTTTGTGCGTGCATGCATGCATGTTAGTGGATGCATGTGCGCATGTGCGTGCATGCATGCATGCTTGCGTGTATGTGTCTGCATGAGAATCCAGTACAGTGCATGCAACGCATCTCACCTCGCCCACTGCCGTCTGGGAAGCCAACAGAGTGGATGAGCCACGAGCACACGTCACTCGTGCTCCACTCTATCACAAGAAAGGGCGAGTCAGTGTGTGCATGCATGCGTGCATGTGTGTGTCTGCATGAGTGTGCAGTGGAGTGCATGTAAGTGCGTGCATACACCGCGTCTCACCTCGCCCACTGCCGTCTGGGAAGCCAACAGAGTGGATGAGCCACGAGCACACGTCACTCGTGCTCCACTCAATCAGACTGACCGGACCACTCCACACCGCAGTACACTCCTCCAACGTCCCAGTACTAGTGCTGGGGCCAGCAGCAGCACCACCACCACCACCACCAGCAGCAGCAGCACGAGTACCAGCAGCAACACGGTTACCAGCAGCAGAGGCTCCAGGACCCAGGTCACGAGTGGCAGCAGTAGGAGCAGAGCCAGCACTGGGCTGAGGGAAGGGTGCAGCTGAAGCAGGTTGGGGAAGTGGCGGCGGGGCATCAAGGGCGGAGGTGGAATGAGGGAGGGACGCAGCAAAGTCGCCGCTGCTGCCGCAGTGAACCCGGAGGTTTGGTCTTCTCCTCGCCCATGTGCTCTTGCCACTGCCGCTGCTGCCACCGCTGCCAGAGTTGCTCCCACTGCCCCTGCCACTTGTGCTGCCACCGCTCTGCACCGCATCCTTCTCTGCTACTTCTCCACCATCCTTTTGCCTGTCACCATCACCTGCTGTGCCTCCCACGCTTCGCCGAGCCTCCTTCCATCCCTCGACCTCAGCCTCGGCAGCTCGCTGCAGGCGAGCAGGCTTCACGCCCGGACCTGCCGAACCTCCAGCCTTGGCAACAGGTTCGGGCCTTCCCTCAAAGCAGCCCTCCCTTTCCCGTTCCTCGTCAGAAGCTGACTCGTTTGCAGAAATCTTTGGCGAGGAGATGCCCTTGCGGTCCCGAGGGGTGCAGAGGGATACGTCTGGGTCCAGGAAGCTGACCCCATTCTCCCACGAAGTCAATAATTCGGTCAGATCCACACTCCCTTTCCTTGCGCTGCGAGCGTGGCTAGAGGGTGATTTCACCATTGACGGTGCTGCTAATGCCTTGTACATAGCTTCTCTTTGCGCTGCCGCAGCTGCTGTTGCTGCTGCTGCCTCTGCCCTTTCCGCTGCTGCCACAGCAGCAGCAGCTACTTCTGCCTCTGCAGCTTCCGACTGTGCATCCGCGGCTGCCTCTGCAGCTGCTGCGTCTGCTTGCTTGTAGTGAAACGAGCGGGACGACCTGAGGGAAGCGGCAGAGGCGGCAGCAGGGCGTTGGGAGGAGTCGGGAGTGGTTAAGGGCGGTAGGGAGATGGAGATGTGGATATTACTGCTGCTGTTGGAACGGGCGTGTCTGCGTGGGGCAGGAGAGGGAGTGAGAGGGGGAGGCGGTCGGAGGGATGAGGGAGTGAGGGGAGAGACACCAGGAGCTAGGAGGGGGTGCATGGAATGGTGTCTCTGCAGTGCTGTTGCTGATGTGGCACCTGCTGATGTGGCACCTGCTGATGTGGCACCTGCTGCTTCTGTTGACGATGCTGATGATTGTTGTGGTGGTCTCTGCTGCTGCTGGTTCTCCTGCTGCTGCTGCCACCCGCGGGGCTTGGGGTCCTTGCGAGGTGGAAGACCCAGCCCTGACCGCGCACTAGCAGCACCAGAAGCACCAGCAGCACCAGCAGCACCAGCAACACCGCCACCAGCAGCAGTGGAGAGCAGCGACAGATGGCTGGGATCGGACGGCTCTACTAGCAGCGACGAGAGGTCGCCGAATCTGTCCGTTAAATCCATGGACAGGTGCCTATACGCTGAGGTGACCCGCCTGCGCGCCTTGCCTGTGGGCGGCACTGGTACACCAGAGGCAGCGGCTGCAGTTGCAGCTGATGCAGCAGCACCGGTCGCCCTGTTAGCAGCGCCAGCGTTACAGTACGTACGCCTTATAGCGTCCTTGTCGCTGCTGTCAAGCGTTTTGCTCTTTCCAAACTCGGCACTCAGTCCCCTACCCGCGCCTGGAGCCTCGTTCCAGCTCCTGGCGGCACTATCACCACCGCCACTGGCACTTAGATATGAACTAAGTGAACTATTCGCTAATAAACTACTCGCTAATAGACTAATCGGTCTGCTGCTAGAAGGGGGTCGCCTGGCGGTTGCCCTATCACTAGCATCTAGGGTTCGGCTCTTGTTGTACGTAATATTCAAAGGAGACGACGGATCAGAGCTGCTGTAGCTGCTCTCCAGCGGCAGCCTGTCGTCCCCGTTGCAACCACCCCCGATAGTTTTGGTCTTTCTATACACTTGGGAACCACTTTGGCTAACACTATGAGCACTATAAGCACTACCGCATGTAGCGTTGCTGGCGACGGTACGCCGCGTGCTGCCGCTACTGCATCGTCCGTTCCGTTCCAATCGGCCGTTCCCCGTGCTAGCACGCACAACGTCATCTTCCTCATCACCGTCCGTTCCGCCGCGCGGAGAGAGATCGCGGCTGCTTCTGCCGCTGCTGCTCCGCTCGCTTCTACCCGAGAACCGCGTGTAAGCCCTCGCAGCCGCCTTGTCTCTGTGATCCAAGCTCCTGCACTTGTCAAAAACCATGGCTCCCGGTCGATTTCCGGTGTTGTCGCTCGGGCTGACATCCCGTGACTGCTGTCCCTGCTGTGCCGGCTGCTCCCTGCTACTACCGTACATCCTGCTACCGCCGTTCCTGCTGCTTCCGAGCACGAAATCCGCCGTTTCCGAGTCATCCGCGTCAGAGACCGCACCGCTATAATCGTCACGATGATTATTATAACGAGTAAAGCTGTCATCGTTGTCGTCAGCATAGTGCCTACGATGTCGACCGTTGTCGTCGCCATGAGCCTCCTCCCCATTGTCATCCTCATCGCCGTCCTCGTCGCCGTCGCCGTCGCCGTCGCCATCGGCGTATGAAACGATCGAGTCGGAGGAGCCGTTGCGAAGGAAGCGACCCAGAGGGTAACCCTCTTCGACGGCTCTCTGCGACACGCAGGAAACGAAGCAGTTGCCGTGAGAAGAGGAATCTTGTAACGAAGTGTCGTCGTCAGAAGGCCATCAACAAAAAAACAGGGACGGAAAGGCAAGAAAAGGGACCAAACAGCGAGCTCGATTGGCAAGCTATTATTAAATAGAGGGGGTTACCTCGAAACACAAAACGCAGGCTTTCGATGGCTCTCCTCCTTCCTCGATCTGCAAGAAACGAGAAAATCGAGGTCAAGTTCGCTTGATCGATGAGTCGCAGTGTGTTCACGCGCAAATCGTCACGGGAGACTGCGGTTGGGTGATACGTAACGTACCATGGCGGTGATAGGGTTGAGCGGCAGGATACACTGAGTACATTCGATACAGTACACGTTCCCGCAGCACCTGCAGTGGTGCCTGCAGAACCCAACCGGGGAAAAGAGAAGACTTGAGTCGTTGGGCTTTTATTGCTGAACGAACGAAAAAGATCGACCGTGCTCGTTACCGACTAAACTCGAGACAATCAAATTTCGAGAATCTTCCGCGGAAATGAATCGTGACAACGCTGACTCATTAGGACCTATTATCACATACTTATGACTTACTTCCGCTCTTTCCGGCTGAACTCGCGGTTGCAAGCGGGGTTGGTGCACTGCTTGATGGCTCCGTTCGGCATCCAATGGCTGCGCGACACGATATCGCCCGGACCCACCGGCGACTCCAACCATGCGTCTGCCGACCCCATCCTGTACGCGATAATAGCGGTCGCCGTCTTGAACGCTTACCGAGTCACGTCAAGCCGCCTGGTTCTGAAGCTATCGCCGATATTGACGATATTCCAACTACTTGCGAAGTTCTTGCTGTATTCGTGTCCCTTGCACTGCACGGATATACATACAGCATGCCTGTTCAGTCGAGGCCCTATTGCGGAGAATAATAAACTGAGAGCAGAGACTCGAGCAGTCGTAGACGCCGCTTCAAGTGAACGCTTGACTAACATTACGAAACATTTCAGGAGATTCCCGCACAATCTTTCTCTCTTCTCTCATAAAATCAAGCCGACGGGGAACATATCGGAAACTTGAGGCGTCGAGCGTGTGGTCACCTCAGGTACTGTGGTTCACCTCGTTTTTTGCTCCCATTGCTGATTTTTGCGAGTCTGCTCTCCGACTCGGAACAAGACAATCGGTGATTGGGAATCTAGTGGAGCAGATGGGAGAGGGAGGGGATGGATGGGGAGGTATGACGCGCCGCCTGGTACTTCGAATCCGGTCTGGTAAGGTTCTTTATGTTCTGTAACGTTCAATTAAGCTCACAAACTGGTTTAGTCGGGTTCTTAGCAAAACGAATGTTCGAACACCCGCTTGCACTGGTTGCCCTTTTCCAGGCTCCACCTTCACTTCGCAGTTTACTTACCAACCACCACCACTCACTCGTGTTCTTCGCATGTTCGCCCATAGTAACCCTCACGAAAACTGTTACTGTGCCACGAACACTGAGCGAAATCGTGCTGCGGGCGGTTGTGGTCAGGGCAGCCAGCAGCACGATTTCGCTCAGACCCTTCACTTTTTAATTCACAGTGGATCGCTCAGACCCTTCACCCCGATTTGTCAGGGCAGCCAGCAGCACGATTTCACGAGGGTGCTCTACACTCTATACACATCGTGACAGTGTATTTCCAGCAGCCAGCCCGATGCGACGGGGTCTTCTTCACGCACCGAAACACTTCCGGGGATGCTTTGAGGGGCCACTTGGTTCCTGCGAGCGACCCCAAATCGGCATCAGAGCGTCCTCGTTCTGACCCACACTTTTAGTCCCAACACCCTTCACTGCGAGCGACCCCAAATCGGCATCAGACCCTTCACTTTTTAATTCACAGTGGAGAAACTTTCAGGACAATTCCCACCACCCCCAAACTCCCCACCCAACCGCTCCATCTTGCCCCAAAAATTCGTGGCGCTGAGATCTATTTTGGCATTTCGTTCACTATCTCGAGTTTTGCGGGGTCGATTCCGGGGATGCCCGGATTATACCGGCTAGCAAAAACTTCTAGATCCGTTGGCCGTTGTTGGCTGCTCCTGGGAACGTTGGCGACAGCTGGTTTCAGGCAGGATATCAAATCGAGTTACAATACGGGAAACCTTTCGCAAGCGGCTGGTGGTGGCGAAAGTTGTCGCGCGGGAGTGGTGGTTTCGTTTGAGGGAGCCCGTATGGCGAACTTGTCGGCAACGGCGAGACGCTTTCGTTGTCGCTCTCGTCTTGAGCGAAAAGACTAGCACTCCCAACACTTGGAACGCAGCCAGTCTGGAGTCTCATGGATCCACGTGGAGCCAGGCTGCCAAGGCCCTCTTGGCCCACACAGAAACAACAGTGGCCATCCTGGTCAGGGGCTGGGAGTCGGGGGCAATCTTGCGAACGGCTGGGACGTGCTCGTATGGGATTTTACCAGGCAGCTTGGAACCCTGATATATGAAGGGTTGCATATTAGGGTCATTCGTGGCCCGTGTCAGACTTCAGGTCAAAATCCCTTAGAGCGTGTTACGTACCCCTTATTTTGGGGCCTGTCGAGGTTGCCTCGAACGGTCGGGTTGGGTTGAACGTAGGGTTACCATATTACCCTAGTGTGTACAGTGTACAGTAAAGGACGTGCGTACCAGGGCTGGTCACACTCGGTCGAGGCGACCAGTTAGTCAAGGAACCAGTTGGCCCCGCCCACACACAACCAGGCCGAGGCAACCAACACGCAAACGTACCAACCTGCTGCGCAACCAGTGGTACACGAAAATATTGCGGGCAGGTTGCATTATCTAAAGTCCACGTGATTAGTGCAAGAAAATTTTCAGCTAAGGTAGGCCAGTGAAAATGACGCCTGACTGCTGGGTCTGCCCCAGATACTATTCGCGTGGTTGGGTCCCGAAAACAAGCGGGTGGTACAATTGCAGGTTGCCTTGTGGGTACCCAACCGCCCACCGGTCGACCCGACCAGTCAGGTTGGGTCGACTTTTGCATGCAACCGGGCCCTGCCACCAAGTTAAGGGGGTACGTAACACGCTCTTAGTCTCCAATTTGGCTCATCCGAACTCGGATTTGCCTCACAAACGAGCCACTTCGGGTCTTCCGAGCCTCCACTTCGGGTCTGACCTGATGTCTGACACGGGCTACGATGTACCCTTAGATTGGAGTGAGATGGAGCTAGTACATGCATACAACCGTACCGTCTAGCAAGTCTTGAAAACCGCACGTTTTGTAGGAAATCATGCATTGAGTGGTTTATGGAAGGACGGTTCCTAGAATCCTATTGCACCTCGTTGTGGCATTTCATAAACAGGGTCCAGTCTTCCGTGTGCGTTACTGTATGTTTGAGCTCTATCGAGTTAGTGCACAATCAATCCACAAGACACATAACCGATAACCAGATGTCATACCATAGCTTCCACCACTTTAGTTACACAAAAAAAATGATTATTCCACACTGGTTTCTACATTACAACCCTTTGAAGGGAAATAGAGTCTCCCAGAATACAATAGGCTGCGTGGGAGGAGGAGCCACCCAACCCAACGCATGCAAGCACAGCACACCCTCACAAAACAACAGAAAGCTTCCCACCCAGGCCCCAATTCACCTCGGATCCAGCATGCCTCCATTCCACCCTTTTGAGTAACATCAGTCAGTACAACCCCATACCCAAATCTCTCCTCCCAACCAGTCACTTCGCATAAATGTAGAAAAGTTTCGTTTTAGGGGGTGACGGAAAAGAGGGAGGTAGCCCAGTTGTTGCGGGTGGTGCGGTCCTCGGTAGCGTACTGCCCTGCCGCCC